CACACACACACAGAGGAGGCGCAGGAAACAAACTTCTACATACATGCTCTGTATCATTAGTTCAGTGTGGTGCTAGCAAAAGTAGAATCCAATATGCATCCATATACATTCTGAAATCCTTATTCAACTGTCTGAACTGCTGCATGATGGGCATGACAGGTCACTGGGGGCCAAGCTCATGGGTGCGTGCAATTTCATGCTACACTCCTGTACTGAAGTGACAGGCACATGCACTTCTACGTGACAGGTACTTCAGGCCTTGCGCTGAAAAGGCTGGAAGCAGTGGCGACCTTGGTGCTGTGGTTACACCGCAGAGTACTTGGTCAAGCCAACCCAGGACCCAACATGAAGTGCAGCCAAAGCGGCAGTAGTAAGGAGACTGATCTCGTAGAACACCACCCTGACCAAGTGATGTGTTCTTTCGAATGCCCTTTCTTCATCACTGTTGCTCAGCTGCATGTGATCCACCACAGAGTTGGGAGTATATCTCGGAAACGGAGTTTCTCTTGAATGTGTGAGACGAAGTTTCTATTGAATGTGTGAGACGACTGCTGCACAAACATCCACAGTTCTTGTTAACACATGATCTCAAATGTCTTCTGGCTTCCAAGATATGTGTTGTTCTTGATGACCACACTGGCAAGATTTCAAGTCAAGGAGTCAAAGAGTCAATTCACGTGACATTTCGGTGATGTTGAGGTGTACGACTTGGCGAAGTGGGGCATTTATTCATGGGCATGCTATATTTCAACACACCTCCAAGATTCGATGCACCGCCCTAAGGTGGCCTGACATCTGTGTCTATCAATTCATCTATCATACGGACGTATATCTGTTTATCTATGCAGGTAGTAAGGAAAACATAAGACATGCTTCATCCGCAACCCCTGGTGACACTTCCGATGACACTGCTTCGTCGTAACATGGTAAGTGGTGCATGCTCCGTTCCTCTGCCTGGTCCTGATATCGCGACTCTGCTGCTTGCATCAGCTCTTCGAAGTCCTGCAGGAAACCAGCAAATTTGAGCGATCGGTGTGGGTGGAGGCCAGGTTTGGTTGGGAAGCTCCATGCAAAACTTCGGAACTACACAACTAGAGCTTCTTGGGCATGGAAAAGCGAGACCCCGAGATCAGCCAGGACAGGAGCTGAACACCGAAAAGCAAGGGGGGAGAAAGGCTAGGCAAAGGTAAAAATGCTTGTTTCCAACATGGGAAACCGACTCCCGAAGACAACGATCGAATCAAGTGGTGACCAAGTTGAAGCCAGAAAAAGCATCCAATTCACCTAGAGGATCCCCAGATTACCAATCGAAACGTGGAAAAGCAAAGGACCAAATTAACACACATGAAAACACATTTTTTTTGAGGCCGCAGTAAGGGGGTTAGGCCACAGTAAGGGTGTCCGAGTAACAGTAGGTAGGTCAGATACGCAGGCTCAAGTAGCTACTGATCGGACGCTCTAGGGGCTACACTAGGGGCTCAGGTTTCATGGGAGCTCTCCCCTCGAAGAGTGGGGAGAGTTTCGAAGAAGCCCAGTTGCTTTAATGATTTAGTTCCAGCCCTTAGAACATGATCCAAGTTGCCTTACCAGTGCAAAGGGCGGACGTGAAGAGCTCTTCAAGGCACATTTCGGGCAAAATGCTGTGACTGGCATGCCTTAGAAAAAGCATGAAAAAGCACTAAAAACAGCAAAAGACTCAGCAATCTCATGGCCACAGGAACGAGGACTGATCACGACCAGTTTTTGATCTAAAGTCTGGGCGGCTCATTTCCTCCAAGCTGCTTTCGACACGACCATTCCTTGGCTCTAGCCCCAAGCTGGAAGCCACGTTTCAGGCCTCCCCACTCAGCGCAGACTTGATCCACAGCATGGCGGCGCACACCGATCCTTAGCAAAGACTTTAGCAGCCTGCTGTTGCACAGTGGTTTGGTCACAGTTTGCGACAGGCCCTGCTCTTGCAATCTACATGACTACGGAGGGTACAGGTGAAGTATCTCAACATATAGCTGATGTGCAGCGCCAACAATCCATCACCAGTGTTTGAGGCAATGTCTTCACATTGGTCGAAGTGCAAGGGTCCAAATCAGCGGGCAAGAACGAAAGGCTGACATGCAGCCTTTCTGGAGCCACCTTGGAATCATCCTGTCTAAGGACCCCAGCTGCAACAGTTTGGGCTTTTGTGCCGGCAAACAGCGGGAGGTCCACTCCAAGCGCACACACAAAGTTCCTTCCTGCGCTCTTCAACTCAAAGTCCATCAGCTCCAAAAGCTAAAACCAAAAACACTCAGGTCTCCTAGGTCTATTGAAAACCAACAAAATGATCGTGCTCCAGTGTGTTGCACCCGTGAATTCGAACAAGAAAAGACCTGCACTTCGCTTGGCACTCATGCAGAATGCTTATTGTCAAACCGAACCTGCTGGGACCTGAGAACCTCGAATAATTCTTTTTTCAGTCTCGACTCTCCAAGTCTCCTTGCCGACGACCATCTGGACCTTGGGCCCCTGACAATCCTGGATGGTCAGTGGAGGCACCTCGCTTGTTGGAGGATTCGGAGGATGGCGTGCTGCAAGCGGACTTTATATACTTGATCTCTGAATTCACAACTCAAACATATTCTATGCTTAGAGGCTTAGAGTAGCGTGGCCATAATTAACTGCTGAAAAGGACAGTGACAGCCCTGCATCACTGTCTCTTCAACCGAAGTTCACTCGGGGCACATCAATGTGTCCGCTCTAGGATCCGAACTGCAAAGAATGGGATGCTGGCCGCCGAGACGTCGTTCATGGTGATGTTGCGTGTGCGACTGGGCGCAACGTGTTCAACATGGATGGAGACAGGTCGATGATAAGTTACTGTAAGTTTTCCCAAACATCTAGAAACCAAATCATTAGTGTGAGCGCTTCTTCAAAGGAAACTCTCCCCTGCCACATTTAGGCAGCGGGAAGAGCTTACTTGAAGAAGCGTGAGCTATCCTGCGTCCATGACTAGAAGCGAACTTAGTGTAGTAGCAAACTTGCTAACTAATTCAGTAGGCGCTGGAGGGGGAGCGGGCTACAAACAGTTGACAAATTCATGCAGTTCTTTTTCAGTTCGATTGGAAGGCAAAATGATGCTTTACGGGCGCGGCAGCGCGTACTTTGAACCAGGCCCTTCTTCTTTGTTTTTCCATCACCGACTCTGCCCTAGGCGAAGCGGCATCTCGGCGTGTAGGAATGGCAGGTTGTAGACCAGTCGACAGGGTCCGTGCCTCGGGTCCGCGTGGCATTTCTGCAACCAACGAGCGATGGCCTCCAACCTACTAGCGATGGCCAGGGACCAAGAGCAGGTTCTCAATCTTCACCGTCTTCAGGAGCCACTCGGTCACGTATTTTTGGCTGGCATTTGAAGTGCTTGAGTGAAAGCATGCACGACCTCTCAGGAGTATAGTTTCTTATAATGTTTTCCTCATCTCCCAAATCCTTGTTATCGAGCAGCTGGGTGCCTGACTCAACTGGCTCACAGTATATAGAGTGCTGAACAAGGCGGTAATCCTGCCACCAAGGCCAAAGGCTTCTGCTTAAAGTGGTAGGTGCAATAGTGGCAGGCTATTGATGGCTGGCAAAGGCTTCGATCTAAGCTATGCATCCCGATTTGCATTTGTATCAATTTGTGTCTAGCAAAACTCCGGCACATTTTCCAGTATACAAGTATATAAGTAGAATCAGTTGAGATCCCTTTAAATCCCTTTATATATGTAGAATTTTTGCTGGTCCTGAGTCCTGACTAAGATAGAATCAGTTGAGAAACGGAACAATCAGTTCCGCAAGAATGACTGAGACTTTCCTCTACTGCCCTTCGGGCTCCCACACCTCATCCGTTGACCCAGCTGGGCGACAGTCCACCACAACGCTGTGATCCTGAGAAGTGAGTCGATGATAGTCGATGACTTCCGTGGGATGTCGCTTGGCTTGCCAAACGCACTTAGCCTGAAGTGAGTCTGACAGTCACGACTGCTGTATCGCAACGGACCTCCGCGTATCTTTTCTGACTTAGCACAGGTATCGGAACGAATCGACATGAGGGACAGGCATCTAAAAAAGTAGTGGACACGACAATGAACTCCTTCGCACCGACAAACTAGTACACGGCACATTGCTTACATTTGTGTGTCAGCCTACACCTCCCTCTTCTCGTGCGGCTTGTAGCAGCAAATCAGCATCTGTGCAAGAGCCTAGTTGAAGATAGCTGATAGCCAACAACAAGTTACTCACTGGCTATTTGGCGCCGACAGCATTCCCTTCACACAGCCGCCGACCTTGTCCGAGTCATTCTTGTTCTGCTTGGCGAACATCGCACACTTCAATAAAATGCAGGGCCTCCAGTCAAGCTCCCAGCAACATGGACAAATCCCAACGAACACTGATGGGATCCGAACTGTTTTTTTCTTGCTGTCTTGCTGCAGGTGCTGTTGTCTGTATCTGCTCCTTTGACATTCCTGTGCGACTTCCCTCAATCAAAACTGTGCCGAAAGGTTTGAACACCCCTAGATCAAACACATGTCGTATGTCCCGGGAGCTAGCTTACTCACAAAAGGTCCTCTTGGCACATGAGGCAAGAAAGCTTTCCTGTTGCGCTTCATTGAACTTTAGGAATAACAGTGGAGTTCTTTCCCCATGAAACTATATAACAGGCCCTGCATTAAACTCCGAAGTATCCACTGAGCAAGTTGCGTGTGGAGGAAGCGACCAAAACGCCCATCAGGGACTGGGACCTGAGATGCATCACAGATGCGACAGGCTGATGCTTTCGTTGAGCAAACAGCTACAAGTCTCTGCAATCTTGTGATTTTTACTCGATGGTGAGGATGGATCCATGTTTGTGGTGCGACTTGGAGAGCTTGCACACACTGCACTTGAAGGGAAGGCTTTCGGAGAAAAACACCTATCAAAGTTGAAGAAGCAACGCACATCCTCGGGGCTTGTTCGCCACAAAAGCTGCCAGCAAAGTCATCGAGGGACTCTCACGCTGCAGAAAATGCGGGGTTACTACCCATGCGGATCTTTAGAGACTTGCAGAGCCATCTCCATTTGCAGCCTGAGCCCACAGCCAGTTCAGGAACCAGCATCGGTGGAGGACGCAAAGGTGTCAGGAGGGGCGAGCTATGGAAGGGCTCCTCAGTGAATGTGTCCAAGAAACAGTACAGTACAAACGTGACATATGCATGAAAGAAGTCCATCAGCTGCTTGAATGGCAATGGGCAAGTTGAAATTATGGACAAACCCCATTATAATTAACCATAAGCTACTAGGAACAAGTGCATCGCTTCTAGTAACAAGTGCCTTACTAGTAGTAACAACAAGCTAGTAGAAACAAAGTAAACAGTAAATGAAATTATCATTGAACACATCCTTTCCTGAGGTCTTGGCACTCCAACGCATGGGGTGTGAAGGATCCAGCCTCCCATAGCCGTGTGGGCATTCTACTTTGAAAACCACGCTCTGCCAACTGCTGCCAACTGAGATCAACTTGATTGCCTTCCACCGGGCTCCCCTGCTTGAGGCGTTGCCAATCAGGCTCCGGTAAGTTTTCCACTGCGCAACGCACGCAAACAGAGATGCAGTGCATGCAATGAGGTTTCAACCTGCCACGAATCGACAGCGTAGTAAGGACCGTTGGGCACAAAGCGAATGTGTACTTGGATGCGTTGCCTCCTCAAAATGACTGAAGCCCGAGTTTGTTGACATGCTTCAAGTGCCCTTGTCTTCCTTCCCTCGCTGTGTTGGGCTCCAAGCCCACTCACATGTAGTTCGAAGCCTTGCACAGTAGGAGGCCTCAGTTGCTGCTGGCTGGTGTTTTTAGCTATGGCTCTGGAAGAGCTTCCTAGTGCACATTGTGTTCGAGGGAAGGTATTTGCCTGCCCCTGCAATGATTTCAGCTATTAAGTTTGCATTATATACAGTATATATATATATATGTATACAACCAACAAACACCATGATACCAATAGGATTCAACACATCGTTTGCCCACCGGAGAACATGAACAACCTTCCTGTCTTCCTGGAGGATCCTCCTCCGGGTGATGGCCGAACGATGCCGAACGTAACAATGGCTGATCTACATCTTCACTGAAGCCCCCACGAAAAAACAACCTGTATGAACATCTATGAAGGATGACTCCCCATTGGACAATAGAACTGACACTGGATCTGAGTGTGCAAGCCCACCATCGCCCTCCGCACTCACAGTCCTCAGGTGACGAGAGATGAGTATGTCTTGCGAACAGTGTGGAGCCACAGAAAACCTGTTACTGTAATTCAAAGCAATGTAACATGACCCTTTGGGCCCAAATATTCTGATCCGAACAACCTGAAGCCTGGTTCACTTCACTCGGAAGACGTCTTTTCAACGCCGATATGTTGTTATGGACAGCGTTTTACTCTATTTTCGACCAGCCGCGGCAGTTCAAACATTCAAGGACCCCGGCCGCATCTCTCGATGACGGAACTTCCCAAGCAATCTCTTCCTCTGCGGATAAAGTGATGGCAAACAGTCTTCGGTCATAGAGCAGGCATTCCAGGGATGATGGTCTGCCTTCCCTTCTTCATTTATGCATATAGGGTGTGTATATATATATATATGTACACTGTATATATATATATATATGCTTTTGTACGCCTTATCACATCCTATTATGTATAATCATACGATATCATATGAACTTGTTGTCCCTTCCTCTTTCTCTGAAGTGCAAGTCACTCGCGCTCCTTTTGTTTCGCGGATCAATGAAGATCCCGGCACGAAATGGCCGAAGACGGTGTCCCTTTCAAACGTAGGATCCGATTTCTTTCGGAGTTTTTCGGGTCCATCAGCTTTGAAGCAGGACGATCCGAGGGGATTCTGGTGTCCACTGGTGTCCCAAGTATAGTACCCCAAAAGCAGAACGCCTGCCTGCCATGATCTGCCATGGGCCATAGGCACTATATGACTACTCTTTGTTCTCCACGAAACAAGTGAAAAAACCATCCACCGAACCCTGGACAACAACACGAACAACTGCAGCAATCAATAAATTACAAAAGTAGAGAAGTGGTAACAATGATTCTATATCATTCCCATTCCATCTGGGATCCCCGGCTGACTGTCCTCCGAGAAAAGACTCTCGAAGTCAAAAGCTGGAACAGCTTCCCCCTCCTGAAGTACACAGAGCTTGGGCAAACTTTTGCGCAGTCCCTTTGAAAGGTCTTCTGTACATCTTGGGATAATATACCCCTGGGGTCTGTGCTTTCAACTCATTCCGAAGCGTGCGGCGCTTTCTGGGCACCGAGAACCTTTCCTCCGACGTTGGAGCTTCGGCCCTTGACGCGTCCTTGCCCACATGTGGAAGCAAGCGACCACAAGAACCATCGGACAAATGGACCTTGGCCGAGCGCCATGACTGCGAAAAAAGAATGGTGGATGGCAGGTGCCTGAGGGGACCTGCTAATCATAGCAGGGATGACAGCTGTGTGGAGGTTGTACATGGGTTGTACAGGTGTCGCTGTCAAGAATCGATGAAAGCAACCGCGGATTGGAGTCAGAATTGAGGCTTCATGGCCAGGTTCCCTGGTGTTTAAACTTATTCCAAGTGCCCTTCACAATCGCAGGGATTTGACGGCAAAAGCCACAGAAAACTTTGACTGACATCATGTGGCTTCGTAGTATTTTGGGATATTTTGGGTATGTGCTGTGCGTTCTTCTCCCAGTCTGAGTGCTCGTGCTCCCCAGTTATGCAAGCGTTCCACGTCGAAGCTTCCTTCATCCTGAGAAGCCAAGGATGTAATTCTCAGGCTGGGTGTGTCGTTGAACATGTGCTTTGCTTCAGCGCAACTATATATATATATAATAATACGTCTTGCTCCTGAATCAATTCCCGCCCACTGTTCTCATCGATGGACATGAACCTCGGCATGCTTGTGTTGGAATGCCGTGCAACCTGCTTTTTTTAAATCTTTAGCAACAGCTGCTAGTGGACCTTTGATGCACTAGCAGCCGTTCCCGTCGATGGAAGGTTCATGAAGTTTCTCCAAGCTTTGAAAGCAAACATAGCCATTGAGTCTTCATTGAGTACCATCAAACCTTTGCTGCCAATTTTACATCCACATTCCAATTTTGTATTCACCAACATGCAAGCAAGAGGCACAAGGTATTCTATGCTCTGCATCAAATGCTCATTCTCAATCAGTGTCTCGCAACCGCTCCAAACCTGAGTCACAAGTATAGAGCAGTCATGCAGAGTCAACATACAGCCGCTCTGGACAAAGCTGATAGCAAAACATAGCAAAACAGTGTTCTGGAGGGCTCAGTTCTGCAGCATGGTCAGCTACGATCACTGATCACTGATTAACAAATCTGCTTCATGCAAAGCCATACCAGTTGCAATTCGACAGCTAAGCTGGCAGGCACGCCTTTGTCTTTTCAATCCTTACACCTCCGGTTGCCGCATCTCTAAAGCTTTGAGAAATGTGCAAAAGAAAAGGGGAAGGGCTAGGTTATCAACGGTGTTGGTGTAAACCTCGAGCAATGCCGCCAGTGCAGTGGTTAAGAAAAAGGGCCAATGCATCCCCTCTAGCGGCAAAAAAATCCACGTAGCGCATGCAATACTAAGTAGGAAGGCAGCAGTACCTACCAAGGTTCGGTGGGATCCAGGCCACTTGATTCCTCCGAACCGGATGCCAAAAAGAGCTGCACAAGAGTCGCCAAGACCAATCAGTAAAAGGCCTGACCACCTCCGAAGTTCCACAGCAATGTTCGAAGCTGCAGATAACTCAAGCCACACAGGCAAAGAGCATCCAAGAAGCAAATACAAATGAGTAAGAACTAAATCCTGAGAGATATCCTCCCGCTTGTCCAAATATTTGGACAGAAACTTATTCTGTTGCTCGTAAAGAGGAGCTTTGCAAATTCGACATACCTCCAAAGCGATGAATAATAAAGTGGCCACCAGCTGGGAAAGAGCCAAAAAATCTGCTTGCCCTGACATCAACAGTGGAGCAAAGAGACAAATAGCGAGCACGTGGAAGGACTTCCGCACGATGTGCTTCTTCATCAAAGATTCAACTTGAAGTCTCCTTGAGAGCATCTCGATACTTGCCACACCGGCAATTAAAAGCAAGGGCCACTGGAAGAGCAAACACCACAGATTCTCCATCTGGGACAAATACCTCAGCTTGAGATTTCGTGCCGTTCCCCCCAAAGCAGAAACACACCAGCGAGGCCTTAAACTGAACACCTGGCTTTGAACACCCCTGTTCACCCAAACTACTGTGTATATATATATATGCTCACTCCCCATCTACCTTTTTCTGCTTTTCATCTACCTTTTCCTGCTTTTCAGCTCTTCTACATATTACTTGTTCCTCTCTTTTAGGTCTGCTATGGACATCCATATATATATATATATATGGGTGTGTATGTTTTGAACAGGCAGTACAAGGGTATGATTCAAGGTATGATTCGCCATGGAGGTACGATTTGGGGGTGTGATTCACTAAAGCAGAACCACCATGACACCAGGATAAATAATAACACATAAGTAGATGCTCGGCTTTTTGCGGTGGCTTAACAGCTGGACATGTGAGGTATAAACATGGGAAACCCTGACTGCCAAACCCCATGTGCAAGACCAAAGCAATAGCTAAACCAGAGTCAAGTCACCCAAGAAACCACCAAATAGCTCCATCGCTAAGCTGCTCACTTAATCCCCAAAGGAGAAATAAAAGGGCTGTGGCGGCCGCTGCAAGCAAAGGTGCGAAACCGTGTGCAGCAAGCGCGTCGAAGCACGCCTTGCTTCAACCAGTGGCTTTACCAAGGACTTGCACAATTCATAGCATCCTTGCTCCTAGTAGCTTCTTGCTCTTAGTAGTGAGGCCAGGAGCCCCTAGTAGCATCCTTGCTCCTAGTAGCGATGCCAGGAGCCCCTAGTAGCGTCCTTGCTCCTATTCTGACCACATGTTCACATCACTTGAAGTAGTCAAGCATCCCTAGGCCTGCAGAACAAATGCTTGGGCTTTCTGGGTTGTGACCAGAAACGTACCTCCATGGAACAATCATAGTGCCAATGAGAGCCTGGACATGACTAAGCTATATAACCATTCTCTTGGGCTTTACCTCAAAACTCAAGGAATGGATTGGGCCACAGCAAACTCAGCAAGTCGGATGATTTGTCACCCCCACCGCCGTGCATCGTCTGAAACAAGGCTCCGTAAAGAGCATGAAAATCAAGCCACACGTCGCCAGCACCGTCCAGAATGCGCAAGTTGGACGCCATGAATCATAGCCGTCTCGAAAACCCTGTGTTGTCAAAGCAGCAAGGAATGCACTAGACTGAGACCAAAACATGACTTCCGCAAAGCTGAAGCAGTGAGCGTAGCTTCTGAAGCTCCTGCATCTTTGACAGGACCTCCAAAGTTGGGTTGGATCTTTGAAATCAGTCTTTAGCTATCAAGCAAACGCCAAAATCAAAGAAACCTCTCTCATAACTGTAAAAGCAACAGCAATGCTTATGACAAAACTTCTATGGGTTCATATCATGTGGAACCCTTTGCAATTCACCGTCTCTACCTTTACCTGTTGATCCACAAGACCCTTTTTGGATAGCAAGACCAGGCGAACCTGTTGATCCTCAAAGGTTTCATCCACCGAACATGCCAAGGCACTGCTGTACGACAAGGAACACGATTGATGGCCACAGGGAAAGGCCTGCTGCCCATGCCAGTGCAGTTGATGCGATGAGGAACACCGTGCTGTGCACAAGTAGATTTCCGAGTGCTTGCGCTGATGCCAACCTGATTTGTGTGTCTTCACTGCATCGCTTTCAACGGTCAACAAAACGGTCAAAAACAACAGTTTAACACACACTACTTTTTGAGGTCGTAGGGTCGGCTAACAAGTAGCTAGTGCTTATATAAGTAGCTTTATCTTGAAGAAGCCAAAGAGTGATTTGGCTTCTAGAATTCTTGCGAACCTTATATATAACTAGAAAACCCACACATGTGGAGCTTTCTTTCAGCAAGCAACACCCACAGAATGGAATGAGCAGCATCTCCGGCATGTAGCATTGCATTCTTTCGGTATGCAGATGTGAGCAAAGGACCCAGTAGCACTGCAAAGACCACCTTGCAAGTATCCAAGAAACAAACGGCTCAACTTTGCACACAATCCAAAATGACTGTAACATGACATAGGCTGATATAATTAATACACATATATAATTAATACAAATAAGCTGTGTGAAGCTACGTATTCAACACTGGAGCCCCCAACGTTGCTACCACGAAGCTACTGTGCTTGAGAAGTGCTCAAGATTCACAACAGTAGAAGGCCAAAAGAAACGACTGCCAGGTCTTTCAATTCGATACTCTCCGGAGCCGCGTAGAAACTATATGAAATTCCTGGGAAACTCTAAACGCGCCATGTTGGCTGAAATAGAACACTTGACGGAGTCCTAGTGTATATAAAGGCATTCAGAAAGCTCCACCAAGTCTCTCCCCCGGTTCTCTCAGGCAACTTTTCAGATGAGGTCAGGGCAACTGTTGTAGCCAGACTTGCCAAAGCCAATAAAGGCCAAGTTGGCTGAAGCAATAGGCAAGCGAGGGCCAAAATGTCTTCCACCAGGATGGCCATCGTCACTCAATCCGTATGGGATATGCATATCTATTGGACATTCGTTGCTGCATTTCTTTTTCAATAATCTTATTTTAGCTGTATAGGCGCAGGTGAACTATGTGAATGTGTCTGTATATTTGCTTATCTGTGTTGATGTGCTTGAACTGATCGCATAGATTGTTTGACATCAAGCAAACATTCAAAAGCTATAGGCAACCACGCAAAAATGATAAAGCCACAGGAGGTACTTGGATTATTGGAGAAACAAAGGATGTTGAGCAAGATCATGTATATAGGTAAAACTTTACGGAAAATTACACCAGCATAGACCCACATAGCTAGGCTAGAGTCCCACGACCTGTTGACATGCGACTGGCTGGAACAAGAATGTACGCAGCTTGCGCAGCCACCTTACGGCACCTCCACGGCGCGCACAATCAGCTGACACCAGCACCGGTGCACTTTGCCAGCTGACAACACCGGCAGCGGCACCAGCACCCGACCAGCGCCGTCGCCCGTCTTAAACGCGCGCTCAGCCAGCTCACAGCACCAGCACCCAGGACCACAACACCAGCACCAGCACCGACACCCTTTCGAAAGCGCGCGCAGCCAGCTCGTTCTTATTTGCAGTAAGAACCGCGTGGAAGTTTATGCGCGCAAACAGCAAAGCCCGTAAGCGCCATTGGCCCAAGGCCAGGCAGTATCCAGCGCCACTATTTGTAGCATGCTTGAAGCAACAATCTGTAGAACGATAAGGCCATATGATCTTGCGCGTATTAGTTTATGCGCACAAGAGTATGCGCGCAAACGGCAAAGCCCGTAGGCTTCGCTCGCCCAAGGCCAAGCAGTATCCAGCACGACGGTTGTGAATGTGTAGCATGCTGAAACATGCTGAAGCAATGGTCGGTTGAGAGCCTGACGCTGCGACGTTCGCACCCAGCGCCGGTACCCAGCACCCAGCACCAGCACCCAGCACCCTGTCTCCACCAGCACCCAGCACCGGCGCCTCCACCACCCAGCCCAGCACCGGCGCCCTGTCTCCACCACGTGCACAGCCAGCTCACAGCACCAGCACCGGCACCCGGCACACCACGTGCACAGCCAGCTCACAGCACCAGCACCAGCACGGGCACCCGGCACCCAGCACCACCGCCAGCACCACCCTGTCTCCACCACGTGCACAGCACCAGCACCGGCACCCGGCACCAGCACCAGCAACCTGTCTCCACCACGTGCACAGCCAGCTCACAGCACCAGCACCAGTACCGGCACCCAGCACCAGCAACCCGTCTCCACCACATGCACAGCCAGCTCACAGCACCAGCACCAGTACCGGCACCCGGCACCCAGCACCAGCAACCTGTCTCCACCACGTGCACAGCCAGCTCACAGCACCAGCACCAGCACCGGCACCCAGCACCAGCAACCTGTCTCGAAAGCGCGCGCGGGCAACTCATTGTTATTTGAAGTAAGAACCCCATAGCTTCGCTATCTGGGGAAAAACAATGATCAGTTCTGTTCACCAGATTGGTCTTCTAATCTCAAAATCCCTCTGCGAATGTGTCCCTTGGCCAAGCGAGGTGCGGCCGCAGTCCGATCCGACGGAACCGATGCGACGGAAACTGAGGGCACTGGCGACCTTGGCTACCGTGGGCTCTCTGCGATTGAAGATCAAGCGTACTGGCCTTGCTGAGCTGGGATGAAGAGTCAAAGACATGAAGAAGGCACACAACAGACTTTGGTGCTTGAAGAAGTCCCGCAGGTGTCACTGAAATTAGGCTTTTGCGATTCTTGAATTGTGGACAGAGCGGCCCCAAAATGAAAGTTTCACCAATCACTTCCTTGATCAAGTTCACGGGAATGTAAGATTGGTATTGTAACTTAGCATGCATTCTGAATATTTCTGAATTACCTCTGCTGACTGGATGAGAATGGACACGTGCCATGTCCCATACTCCCCCCCCTTGGTGTCCCCATGGTCTCTTGGATGGAACATGCTTAGCCTTGTCAGGGAGCAACTCCATGCCTGAGCCCCCATACCCTGCCAAGGAAGGTATTGGCGGAGCTAGCTGCGATGCCGGCGAGGGAGCTGACCATTCTGACCAACCTGAAGATTTACAATTGACATTTAGTCCAAACTTCTGTTGTACTAAAAACTTGTCGACGTCAATGCAAATTGGGGCGATGCAAAGCCCCGCCAAAATGTCTAACCCATTGACGTTGCAGCATGCTCAACGATGATTCACATAATCTGCTTCAATCAGCTTCAAACGGTACCATGCACTTACTTGCCTGAGCAACTGGTATTGCGGAACGCATTAGAACTTGAACATTCATTTTGTGCACATCCATGCTTCCCCAAAGCAATCTTGCCCCAATCCTTTGCTCTGACTCGCACACCATCATAACTCATAACTAAGCCAAGTGCGAAGGCCATCGGAAACGCGCACCCGCCACTCGAGCAAGTGGCTAGGACCTCAACAAAGCGGGATAACCATTGATCCCGTGGTATTCCATCAGCGCCTACAATACAACCCTCTGAGTCTGCACGTAGGCCACAGTGGCTACAATGGCCTCTGACTTGAAACAGTATACCGTATACCGCAAGTTCACGTCCTCTATCGGGAGACGAAGTGTCCTCCAGCTGGCAGGAATGATTGGAAGGTCTGAACCCATCTTTCTCCTCTGAGGTCAGCGCGAATCCGGAAGGGCACGTCTCGTGTCTTTGTGCTCCCTAAGAAAGGAGGAATCGGCTCTAAATGTCTGAACAAGTCTGAAGTTCACTCAAACATTCTTGTGAGCGCCTTACAGTCCTGGAGTGTTTCCTTCATTGTTTCTACTCTGTAAAGCATGGCATGACTTTCCAAGCGGGTTTGAGGAACGCCTTCACCACATCTTTACAGAAGAATGTGCACTCTGCCAATCTCAAGCTGAGTTGAAGACCTAAGGAGGACCTGCCAACAGATTGTTTGTTTGGTCACAATAGCCAATAGCTGTTTGAAGATCCTTCTTGCTGTACCCGAAAAATGGAACACAGCCTAACACAGCTTTGTATAATGCAAACATGGAGAGCCACTCGATGACATGTCAAGCAATAGAGCAACGACATGCAACGCTAGCTTTCTTCTTCCTGCTGAAACAATTGCCAAAGCCAAGCTTCTTGACCCTCACACCCGCGGAGAGTGCGACTGGAACATGGAATTGGAAGAACTGAACAATCAATGGCAGTTTGGGACCTAGCCTGGCGGTGTCTGACATAGTGCTCGCTCCCTGAAGTAAACAATTGCTTGCCAAAAAACTCTCAGCCGATGCGTCTACATCTACGATGAACTGGTGCCAGGAGAAGCCCACAAGGATAGAAGAGATTGAAGGTACTGATATGAAGACTTCACAAATCAGCAAGTAAAACCTAACAAAGTCCACACGACTCTTTTGAGAGTTTCCAACCACATTGAATTGAAGGCACTCAGGCTAGGACTGCATTGAGAGACGACGAAAATTGCCTGAGTCACAAACAAAACCAATAGCTTCTTGTTACTACTAGTAAGGCACTTGTTACTACTAGCGATGCACTTGTTACTACTAGCAAGACCCAGCTGAAAAAGAGCTGATGCCTTTCCCAATGTGCAGATTGCTCCGGGATCTTCCTGAAACATCTTGTCTAAAGCCTAGATTTGACCAAAAAGACATCAACAAAACACCAAAACAAACAACCTCCGCCTCGTGTCTTGACTTTCAACACCTGCTGAGGGAGGCACCAGCTTGACTCAGATTCGCCCTCGGATGGGAGCACAGGAGAGCTAACTAGCCGTCTCGGAATCTAGCAAAGCAAGACGCCAGAACTCTGGCTTCCCAGCATTTCTTAGTGACCCATTTTGGACCTTTCCCACAGCGAGTTTGGAACACGACACAAGACTGAAGGCTACTGGATTCACACAGTGTGCCCTCTCCAGTAGGCTAGCCCAGCGCCACACGTAGAGACGCGCTGGATCCCAAAATTCCTCGCGCCACAAGCGTGAACTCCAGGTCGTCATGCTCATCGAAAAAGAACATATGAAGGATGATCCCACACTTGGAGGTATCCAATATCAACACAGGCTGTTTTGCCAGCACTTTGCGACGGTCAAAGCTACGTCACACGGAAAGGGCCCAGGTGCAATCAGGCTTTGTCAGGGCTGCAATATCTCAGCTACAACCTTTGAAAACAATTGCCGAAACAGCCCACCCTTCCAGGCCTCTTGCTTTGTGTGGTAGTGACCTCCACCGCACATGGGACAATCGTTTGCCAATTGACTTGGTTCAAAGCCCACCCCGCAACCTCTCACATCTGCAAACATTATCTTCTGCTCACGGCTATCCCGAAACTATCCAGAGTCTCTGCACCTTCCACTGAGCTTCAATGACACCATCGAATCCGCATGTTGAGTGTCCCGACGCCAAAGGATGTGCTGCCATTCTGTTCCAGATAGCTTTCGCTCAAAGTCTGCCAATTGAGATGCTTCCCTGCACAAAGCGAGCAATTGTTAGGACCGGATACCTTTTGGCCATTTGAATGCCATTGAGAGCCTCCCACAACAGGTCTTTTCAGTTTGCGAATCTTTGGAGTACAGTATTTCTTCCCCACTTCCGGTTGTCCATCGTTGTTCACTGTCCACTCCGGCCGAAGATGTGACCGGAATCGAGGCCACGACCCCTGCAACAGGAGATCTTCATGGTCAACCTCCGCCTGGCAACAGCCGCCGAGTGGCGCTTGTGATCTTCATCACACGCCCTTGATCTATGAGTTCGATCCGCCAACCTTTCGTATTTATTGCGCGAGCCATAAGAACACAAGGCTAACTGGCAATACTCCGAATTAACCTCTTCTTGATCTTCTTGATATAACTATTGTTTAATTGGTTGTTTGCGAGTTATGTTTACTTGTCTGATTCACGTTACATATTGAATTCTGAATATTGTTTGAGTTCTCCACACAAACCACGAGTCCTATCCGATCATCCGATCACCATCTCACCTCG